AACTTGCCCTATATTCCACGATTTTCCACAGTAAATAAATTCTTCTCATTTCTTCAAATAAAAATTGCTTCAAAGCTCATTGTGTGAAACGTTATTTTCCAAATATATGCTTTTGAAAATTGAAATCTTGCTTATCCCACTCCTGGCAAACAGCCATATTTTTGAGATCAGCGAGGATGACCACCCACGGTTGGTGACCGACGCCCGCGCTCATTGATGAACTTTAGACTTGGCTAATGCTTCTCTTCCCCCGGGTGTAAATAGCCGGGGGAAATTAGTACCCTCGTACGGCGCTTCGCGGCGTCGGCTCGGAGATAAATGCAAATTCTGTCGAGTATTGAAGTTAAAATATTTAATTATTTCATTTGTTTTTAGGCGCTGTAGTTGATGAATCGATTCAATTGCGATTCTTCAATCCAAATTTTACCATCTCAGCAGACGATCTTCGCGATCTAATAGCAAATGCCAACCTACCAAGTTTGGGATACAGAAAAATCACTGAAAGGAAGACTGAAACAGATTTTGAAACAGGTTTGTTCGATCATTATGTTCCAAATGGCATCCTTATTTTGCAATGGGACTAATATTTAACCAACAGAAAGATATTCAGCACTAATTTGCTTAGTGGCACTAACGGGCTGTCCCAGACATCGCAAGATTTTGATCGTTCGAGTCCAGTTCTAGTTTTCATAGTTCGGGTTTTGATTGGCAGTTTAAGTTTTCGCTAGCTCGTGGCAAAAGGTATAACACGAAGGTCCAAATATGGATCTCTCGTCAATCAGTCGGAAGGTTAGCTCCATTTACGTTGTGTTATTTCTCGGAAAGGTTGCAGTATTATAGGGTTCCTTTCATCCCGAATATTGGTCTCACATATATTTAATATCTCTATTCTATATAATAAAATGTAAAAAAAAGAAAATATGTAAAAATGATAATAAATTATGATACATTCTGAAATTATTTTGACGTCACGTCAGCCACCAACCCCCCCCCCCCCCCCCCCCCCGACAACGATCTTGGAAAGCTAACACGGAAAATATTTTTGACCATGCGGGCACAATGGGAAAAGGTCAGAAAAATTTCTTTGTGCCCCCTAATTTTTCCCTTCCCGCACGCTTATGCCTAACATTGCTATTAATCCACAATCACATTTATTTTTCCTTTCATTACAATTCCCGCTCCAAATACACGTGATTATGAAATCTTGCTTCCTGCAATACTTGTCGTGGCCTTTCACCTTACACAGTTGTCGATCGGCTTTTTTCCAATCAGGTTTCCCAGTCTTCCAAGAAACAGTGAGATTCTTGAAAGAAATGCCCTGTGGTGAGGTCCCGAATAGTGAGAAGATGTTAGACCAGTTGTTTCCGGGAGCGTTTGGTAAAGACGTAACAAACAAAATGAGATTTGAATTCCAAGAAAGAAAAATTTCAAAATTCAAGATTTGTCTTGCCGGGATAGAATTCCATTTCAAAAAATGCAAGTTCGGAAGGAGATTAAGGCGTGGCGCAAGAGGTCCGAAAAGGTATTGCGATGGATGTGGTGTATGTGACATTGCGATTGTCAAAGATGGTAATTAATGAAAAAAACAACAAATGCAGAACAACTCGCCTTACTAATCAAACCACTATATTTTTCAAACATGAAGTATCAGTAGTGGTTGTCACGATCATTTTTATATTTTTTTTACAAAATTTTGAAAACAATTGAAAGACTATAATTACTTTGATTACAATTGTTATAATATATATGTTAGGTATATTTTCTCATGTGCAAGAGTCTGGTATAGTTAAGTTTTATTGTAGATACAATATAGTCAAGACAAACATTGTCAAGTGGTTTAGAGCTACACGCGTAAAAGTCATCATGTTGTCGCACGTTGTCAACAACTTGTTCACGATTGTTCAGAACAGGTTGCAGCAATGTTGTGCTGCACCCTGTCAACAAGGCTTGTTAACAATATTGTTCACGCTTGTTCGAACAATGTTGTTGACGCCTGATGAACGAACAAGGCCTGAACAACGTTGGAACAACGGAGATCAACCTGATATCAATGATGTTTTATATTGTCAGCAACTGCGAACAGTCTTGTTTAATTTAATCAATACGTAAACAGCCTGATATCAATCGTTTTCGACGCTGTTATTCGTGGCCATTATCCAGGGGGGGGGGGAAGAGAAATTTAAATAAGCACACAAACAGACAAACTTCGCTTCTTGATATGAAATTCAGTTTATTTTGAAATAAGAAAATACAGATTAGTGAACAAATACAAACTAAAGAGTAATTACAGTAAAAGTACAAAGGTAAGATAACTATAAACTATTTTATATGCAATTAAGGTTTATAAAATACTATTAAGTACTATTTATAAATCTAAATAGTGTTGAGTGTTTTGACTTTTGAGTACATAATACTGGTAAACCATGGCAGTATTTTAGCAAAAGGTAGTGCAACACTGCAACCTCTATAATTATTATTTAGGTATTTTCAGGATGGAATTTGAATCTGCTGGAGCAAGTCTATCACAGAGATATTATGAACCATGCATGCAATTGATACATAATCATAATTTATACATTATATTTGCCCATTATATTTATAAACTGACAGTTAATAATTAATCTTTCACAGACTAATAAAATCATCTGGGGCCAGTAGTTCAAAGGCCTACACGGGCTTCGAACAACCGGCCCCAGATCACCAAATGATTTTATTAGTATGTGAAAGAGTAATAGTATTAACTGTCAGTTTATAAATATAATGGGCAAATTAGAGATAGAGTATATAAAATACTAAAGTAGGCTCATTGCCAGTTGATGGGTTATAGGTTAACCTGATAATGAATAAACTATAGATGGTATTGTTGCATCTCACTCGATGGAAATTTTAATGTTGGGTTTTGTTGATGGATAAATCGAGTACTTAATAATTTGAATTAAAATATGGACCTAACCAGGCCCTTGTTGCCTGAATCATAGAGATTATAAATAACACTAGAGGAGGCATCGAGTTTAAAAATTGGGAACGCAGCTAATGGGGGGAAAATTCAAGTCCTGGATAAATATAATCGTGCTCTCATTGGCTGATTTAAAACTCGTCACCAATGGGAACATGAATACACATCCGGGACTTGAATTTGCCCCCCAATAGCTGTTCCTTTTTTTACTGAATTAAGATTACTTATTTATAATCTCTATGGGCCTGAATGGCATCTTATTCAAATCATCATTTAACTTGAAATAAAGGGATCTCCCTCAATTGATTTAGCCAGAGGGCCAACTCCTAATACCTGGATCACTCAAATGGCAAACCTTATACATAGTAAACAATGTATTAGCAAACTAAATGGTGTTATTGACTGAAGAAGAATAAATGAAGACTGACTGCATCAGAGTATCAATTTTCTGTCTGCATCCTTTTAAAAGTTCAATATTTTTAA